GCCCCCACGTGCCCGCTTCCAAGAAGCCCCTGCAGGCTGGGCCCGGTCCTCCGGGGGTGTGCGGTTCGGCATTTTCTGTGCCCAAAACTCCCTCAGAAGCGACACGTGTCGCGGAGCGGGAAGGAAGCCACCAGCCCTCGGCTGGGCGGTGAAGACGGCCAAAGCTCTCGGGAGCAAGGCTGGAGTTTTAAATGAGCGCCGCCAAGCCCGGCACAGCTGCCGCAAGCCTCGCTGCTCGGAGAGGGCAGAAGTTCCTGTGGCCCGCAGGGCAGCCAGCTCTCTAATCTAGAGTGGGCAGTAAAAGGAGGGCACTCGCCGCACTGCCTCCGGCCAGAACAGCGTGGGGGAACCCACTGGAGCCCCCTGTCGTTGCCAGGGACCTGCAGGGTCTGCCTGACTTGGGAAGTCAAAAGCAGAGGAGGTCTCCTGGGTAGCACCAACCCGTCTGGTCTTGGCTGAGCACCTGAACCCCATCCAGGCCACATGGACATTGCCAGGAGGGTCTCCTTTGCTGGGGCCTTTGGGGAACCAGGAGAGTTGTGCCAGCCCTGTGCAAGACCTTTTGGGGAGGTGGCCAGAACCCAAGCCACAGTGGGTCTAAGCTGTGACNACCCCATCCAGGCCACACGGACATTGCCAGGAGGGTCTCCTTTGCTGGGGCCTTTGGGGAACCAGGAGAGTTGTGCCAGCCCTGTGCAAGACCTTTTGGGGAGGTGGCCAGAACCCAAGCCACAGTGGGTCTAAGCTGTGACCGGAAGGCAATGGATGGCCTGGAAAGATGTGTAGCCAAGTTTTCCTCCCCCTTCCCATCCAAATTAATTGCCAGCAAGCCCCAAGCAAAAGCTCCTCTTCATTCATTCCTGGGCAAGGGCAGGTCTGTGCAGCCTCCTGGATCTCAGCACAGGGTGCTGGGAATCTCTTCTCCGGGATGGCTTTAAAACCCAACCAGGCCTCTTTCTTACCTTCCAGAAAGAGAAGGCACCACAGCTGATTACCCCCAAGCAATGGAGGCCATTTACAATTCAGCCAGCACCTCCAGGGGGACCCCACCCAGGTTCTCCCCAAGGTGGCTTCTGACCCCAGCCAGCCTTGTGTTCTGTCCAGGATTCCCAAGGGGAGGTCCCTTGGTTACTGCTAAATCTGTAGTTGTCTCCCAGGGACCCACATCCTAGGTGTGTCCCCTCCTCCCAGGGAGGGGCCAATGGCTAACACCCAGCTATGACTCCAACTGGATAAGCTTGGGGGGGGGGG